AATAATAAAAAGACAAATAACCCAATTAACATATAGACAAAGGATCTGAATAGACATTTCTCGAGAGAAGACAAGAAGCACAGGAAAAGATGCTCAACATCATTAGCCATTAGGGAAAGGCAAGTCAAACCCACCGTAGATCACTTCACACCCACTAATACGGCTATAAGCAAAAAAGTGCTGACCAAGATGTGGAGAAATTGGAACCCTCATATGTTGCTGGTGGGAATTTAAAATGTTGCAGTCTCTTTGAAAAATCATTTGGCAATTTTTCAAAATCTTAAACATAGAATTACCACATGATCAAGCAATTCCACTTCCAGCTATATATCTGAGAGAATTGAAAATATGTGTTCACACAAAAATTTGTATGTGGATGTTCATAGTGGCATTATTCATAATAGCTAAAAAAATAAAAACAATACAAATGTCCATCAGCTGATGAATGGATAAACAAAATATGGTATATCCATCATAAAAAGGAATTAAATACTGGTAAATACTACAGCATGGATAAATCTTGAAAACACATGCTAAGTTAAAGAAGGCAGTCACCAAAGGCCACACATTATATGATTCCATTTGTACAAAATGTTCAGAATAGGCAAATCTATAATAACAGAAAGTAGATTAATAGTTTCCTAGGGCTGGGATTGGGGGTGGGAGGTAGGGGATAGGTAGTGACTATCAATGTATACAGAGTTTCTTTTGGGAGAAATGAAAATGTTCTGGAATTAGATCGTGGTGATGGTCGCACAACATAGTTAATATACTAAAGACCACTGAAGCATATGCTTTAAAATGGTGAATTTTATGTTACGTAAAGTATATCTCAATTTTAGAAAGTGTTATAAAGGATGCGGGGAGAAAAAAGACCTGACAGGAGTTACCATTTCTGGGGAAGAAACTAACATATAAAAATTAGAGAAAATACAATCCTCTACTCAATTCAGTTATTGATTGCGGCTTCCCCTAAAAATTACATTAGAAGTTCATTTAAATGCCTGGAGTAAGTGGATAGATATTCAAGAAGGTGACTCGATCTGGGTCTTAAGGAAGGGGAAGTAATTTGGGATGTGCTGAGATAAAGGGAATGGTGTTATTCCAGGAGTAGGGACTAGCACAAGCAGAAGCAAAAAAGGTGGGAATGGATGCTGGAGAGAGTGAAGAAAGCTGTCTCCACAAAAAGCTATTTAATTCAGTTGAATTGCAGTGGCAATTAAAATTGAGAGTATGGAATGGTCCCCGATCATGGAAAACTGGACAATGAGGCAGGGGAGACTCTCTTGACTCTGAAGGCAATGATAGGATATTGTATGTATTTATTTTTTGAGGAAGAAGACAGAATTCACATTCCCGAAAGGCTGGAAGATTAATTTGACATCAGTTGCAAATTAAATTGTAGAAGAATTCAGGCATAAGAAAATTCAAGGCTGTACTAGAAAAACATCTCTGGGAGTAGGAGTAAGGGAGATGTAAGAAATTTTCGTTTCAAAGATAGAAAGGTTATTTGGAAACAAATTGCTGGTAATGAAGTAAAGAACCAAGTAAAAAATGAAACATTGGGCAATCAGAAAATTTCAGAGGAAAATGGAAACTGGAAAAAGATGACAACTTACAGAGAAGTGACAATTTTGAGATAATCACAGTAAATCAAATCTCCGTTAAACACAGAGGACTTCAAAAAGTTCATGGAAAATGTAATTCAAAGATAAAAATAAAAAATGTAAACTTTATTTTTCAACATAAGCTCCATTAAGTTCAAGACACTTTTATAAGCAATGATACCAGCCATTTAGTACATCCCTAAAGAACAGTGTTTTTCTATGTGTACGACAGTTATACATACTCAGATGAGGACCATAGAATCAACTTAACTGTAAGTTTGGACAAGAACTGAGGGATAATTTTATACAGCAACTTTATGTGCCAGTTAGTATCAGTACATTGTTGTATAAACTTCAAAAATGAAAACACACACATGACTTACCCACATGTACACATTTGAGTAGGAAACAAATGGTTGAAGGGATCAGCACTTTAG